CGGATTCCTCAGCTCTACTATCTCAAGTTCCTCATTCTTCTGCTGCCAATTATCCTCCTAAACACCGCAAGGATAGTTCCTCTGCGAAACCCTTGTTATGTTCTCATTGTGGTGATTCTGGTCACTCCAAGAATCGTTGCTACGAAATCATCGGCTATCCAACGTGGTGGGACTTCACCAAACGTCCTCGCAGAAAAATCTCCTCCAAAGCCCTCAATTCTTCTTCTGATGGTGACTCATCTCCCTCTCCTCAAGCTAATGTTGTGTATGAAGGTATTCTAGGTAAAACTCTTGCTTTCTCTACTCACTCTAGGAATTCTACTTGGATAATTGATACTGGCGCATCAGATCATATGATTCATGATGCTTCTATGTTACAACATTGTTTCCCATGCAGTAAGTCCACCATAACCACTGCTAATGGTGGTTCTGCCTCCATTACTGGTTAGGGTACCATTACTCTATCAAAAACTCTCACTCTTCATTCAGTTCTTGTCGTTCCTTCTCTTGATTTCAATCTTTTATCTGTTAGTCAACTTACATCACAACTTAACTGCAGTGTGATTTTTTGGCCCACATTTTGTGTTTTTCAGGACGTCCAGACCAAGGTGATTCTTGGCTATGGTGTTAGACGTGGTAATCTTTACTTCTTAGATGTCTCTGAGGGTGGTACTGACTTGCATTGCAGAGCATCTGCTACTAACACTCCAGATTCTTCTCATTTTGCTACTTGGCTTTGGCATAAAAGACTCGGACACCTTTCCTTTGGTTATCTTCAAAAATTTTTTCCCCATTTATTTTCAAATTGTCATTCCTCTAAATTTCAATGTTCTACTTGTGAAATGGCTAAAAGTCATCGCTTTCCCTTTTACCCCAGTATGAATAAAAGTTGTATTCCCTTTCAAGTCATTCATTCTGACATTTGGGGCCCTGCTAAAGTCCCTTCGTTTTCTCATACTAGTTGCTGTTAAATTCCTCAACCTTTTTGTTTTATGATTTTTCTTTCATTATTTAATTCCAGGCTTTCCGACATAGAAACAAACCTTATTTATCCACTTCTATAATAAAAAATATCTATGTTGTTCATTGACTTTTTACCAAACTGGTATAACTTTTAATTTCGCACAGATTTAAGAAAATGTATAGAGATGAACAAATCGCGTTTAAAAGTAATGATTTTAAATTGAAGAAGTCGTTTTTAAATATGAATTTAGATTAAAAGAACACAATTATGTTTTAAAATAAAGATTTTTTTTTATCAAAGTGACGTTGTAGATAAACTGACTTTAAATCTTTATGATTTTTTTTTTCAAAGTACAAATTATAATGACTTCTCCTTTTAAGTGTTATTAACTTTTTATTTATTTTAATTTTTAGAAGTGTTATTAATGTCTGATTCTATTTTATTTGTTGAAAGCATCCATTTCTATTTTTGTTCGTTTTTATGTTTTTTAATAATTTGATTAATGAATTTTTTAAATTATTTATATAATCATATTTTTTATTTTGAGACATTTGTTCTAATAAATTTTCATTTTTTTAATTATAGTTTTGAATAATTTGATTAGTAAATTTTTTAAATCTTTTAAATTTATATACAAACACTTGAGATGATTTTTAATAAATTGATTTATATACTAAAATTAAAAGTTTCTAGCTTTTTATTTTTTTAAAGTTTTAGCTTTCATTTCTTTTTAAACTATTTGATTGTCCAAATTTATATATTATTTTTAAAACTAATATCAAAATTTCTTTAAAACTATCATTTTTCTTTCCTATTCACTCTTTTTAAATTCTTATCAGTCTACCCATCAATTTAAATATCAAAGTTTATCATAGGAGTTTTGACATAAAGTACTACCATCCTAGCCAATTAGTATTTTATTTGAAGTAAATTCATTTCTACCTCTTTCTCTTGAGTTTATTTTAGAAGTTTTGCCTGCATGTATTAAAGAATCCTTGCATGTAACTTGAAATGAGAGTTTAAAATGAATCTCTATTTGATTAAGATTATTAAAATGTATTTAGATCGTTGATTCTAGTTTTTCATGTACAGGTAAAGTATTTTGTAAAAGCTAGAGTTAAGGAATCTGGTAACTTTTTTTTTAATTTAAATTAGATTAAATTAATAATTTTATTTTGTGTATGTTAGGTGTAGTTACTTTGATGAAATTGTTGAACTAAACATAATCTTGGAATGATTATTTTTGTGTATTTGCTGAAATTAAAATGATCATATATTAAAAGTATGGTGTTGCTTTAAGTACTATTAGTTTTGTTGAGTTTTTTAAGGAGGATTTCAAATGTTAAATGAAAACAAATCATCAATCACATGGTTTTGGTGTTGAGTAAAATGATTCATTTTGATCTTGAACACAATTTTGAACCAAGAAAGGAGTAAGATTATCCAAAATAGATCAATTTGACGATTTGATATATCCATGAAATTTTTGAAATTTCGCAAGCGCACTGGGGAAGGTCCACTAGTTGGTTAAGAAAATTTGAACAGAGAGCTTAAGTCGTACTGCTCTCTGAATTTTAAAGTTTAATTTTATTGGACCAAATTATTTTATTTTTTTTCCATTATCTGATCGTTACGCGAGTGAGTTTCTTCGCTTAGTAAAATCAAACTTATGAAAATCTAGTGAACTTAAAGAGATCTGGTCATTGAATGAGTTATGACTAGTTAAATGAGTATAACATTAAGCCCTTGTTCACTTGAATGAATTTTGGAAAGATTGATTAAATGAATTTGAGAGGATTTGAAGGTAAATTTTTTATTGTTTATTTGAGTGGATTTTGGAGGTAAGTGAGAGTGGATTTGAAAATAATTTTTTTTAATCTATCAAATCAATCAAATTCTACACTAATTCTTTGAAACTTTACTTCAAAATCCACTCTTACTTCCAAAATCCACTCAAATAAACAACAATAAATTTATCTTTGAATTCTCTCAAATCTACTCAATCACTCTTCCTCAAATCCTTTCAAGTGAGCAGAAGCAAAGAGATAATTTGTTGATCTGAGTGAAGCCGATCATTATTCACTTATCACTTACACGAGTTTGAGTTTTTAAAAAATATAAACAAGTATAGTAAGATGATTTGCATAATTTATTATAAAATGTTAATTGATATATATATATATATATATATATATATATATATATATATATATATATATATAATTTAACTATTTATTTGAGACGTTACATGTTTATTAATTAATAAAAAAAATTAAATTAATTTTTTTATTTGAAATAGAAAGATAATTTTTTAATGTAAAAAATTGAAAAAGCTAAAGTAGTAAGTTCTAAAGAGGACTTCATTAAAAAACAAAATCATGAAAGCACCACTTTTATTTAAATGTTTTAAAAATATGGTTTCATTATTTCGTATTTTGGAAGTACTTACTTATCTGTTTACTCTTTTAAAACTTGATCCATTTTGATAAATTTGAATAAAAGTTACGTCTAAAACAACTTTATTCATTATCTTTCAAATAAAGTTTAACTTTTATAATAATTTGTTAAAAATATTATAAAATACGATACAACAGGTTAGAATGTTATGTTCTGTCAGGTCAGATGAAAAAGAGGCAAAAATAAAAATAAATAGAGTAGTATTATTTACTGTTTGATTCATAAAAATAGAAATGAAAATGGCGGGCCCACAGTATTTGATAAACTTTTATTATTTTTACTCAGTGTTATATTAATACAATTTTTATCTTCGAAAATATAATTTGTCTGTTCAGTTTCTCGTTTCTAAAAGGATGTAATCTAGTTTCAGCAAAAGGTTTTCTTTTCTACATAACTACTATCTCTTCTTTTATACTAGTAGTTTAAGGTATTTTCAGCAAATCAAGAAAATCACTTATTTATTTTTACTTTTAATACAATTTTAAGTGACTTATCAGTTATATTCGTATTATACCCATCGCAGTTTTTTTTTTTTAATTTTAACATACATTTATGTAATTACATCTGTTTCCTCCGTTATCATAGCTAATATTCATCTCTCCATATCAATTAAATTAAGAGTATAACTGAAAAAAAAGAAGTTATCTTAGAAAATAACATATAATAAAAGAAAACAAATGGTTAAAAAATTGAGAATGAGTAAAAGAGTCCGAGGATATAATTCCCTTATTAGCCTTATGTTTGACTTAACATTAATTAATATTTTCAACACCCTTTCATTAAGATGTAATACATTAGTTAACGTATAGTACAATTTGGCCTCCCTTGCAAACGGAGTGTAGAGTTTGGAGAAATTCATCAAATTCTAAAGTTGAATGTTGATGTACCATACAACATTCAGCTAGCAAAAAGCAGTACCATAGTACTACAAACTAAAACACAGCAGTACACTAGACATCTCACACATTCCACAGGCTGTTTGTAATGACACATGGACGTTTTGTGCTACCTAGTACCAGTACTCATCACACAAATTTTCATAGTACAGACATCATTCATGTACTGCAAAGTACAAAGCATTTCTCCTACTAAATATAAAGGATGGAATCGAATCATACATGCACTCAAGAGTGACTTTGGTGCTTAATCTAGTTAACAAAATGTCTAATCGGAGAATAATCTTTCTCAGAATGAGATGTTGCTTAATGTTAAGGATGTCCGCAACAAGGTTGAGGTAACAGGACAGAGTAGGGGAAACGGCAGAGCATGGATGGAATCATCAACACAATAGAGCCAAGAAAGTGAGAGTGACAGAGAAATCATCTGTTGTGGTTCTGCTCATGCACTGCCTCTTCCCTGGCTCTGTCTCCTTTTCTCCTTCCCTTATTCCCCTCTTCATTTATTCATTCTGTATGATCTATATGCAAATTTCACAACATACTTTTCAAACTTTCCAGGTGATTGAAAAAGATTAGGATGTTATCTGGGTTTTGTTTTGCAGGAATGGAACTAATCGAACAGATTCTCAAACAAAAATCAGGAATGACATTAAAGACAAGGAAATCACAGAGTACACTTGTAACAAGGAGAAAGGAAGAAAATGATTTTATTGAAGAGGAAAAAGAAGGGACTTACATGCTGCTATCTCTATCAGACAAGCACAAGGACTCAATTGAGTTAACTAGGACACAGGGGTGAGGTTCTCCCACTCCCAGTTCATGGTCCAATTTTCCAGATTCTATGAGATTTAAATCCTCCAAAAGAAATACATATTGTTCTTGAACTTCCCCTGCACTCTTTTCTCCTCCCACCATGGCTGCCACAATCTCCCACCGTTCTGGGTGGTTCTCATCTACCACGGCCAAAGCCAGCTCAAACAACTTGTTCTCCTTCCAACTCCACCCACACAAGCCCTTAGGAAAATCATCCATGCCACTGCTTTTGGATGTCATTTTCAGAGAACTATGAGGATTACCATAATACCATAATTCAGTTACATTATGGTATTTGTTTTTGGAAGCGTTCGGGGCAGTCAGATGCCTGCAATGACCAGAAAATTTGCCTTCTTTTTCGTGTTCTACAAAGGCCACACGAGATTAATAAAACTCAAGTTATGACAATGAAAGGTTGATTCTTGTGGCCGAAACAGCAAAAAGATAATTAGATAGAGACAAAATGTGGTACCTCTATTGATTTCTTGCAAGAATTAGCATCTCCGTTTGATTTTATGTTATTTTACTTCTTGTTTTTCCAATTGAAATTTCCTGCACTTGAAGTCAGGTGATGTAAGCGGCTTTATGTGGAAATTTATAGCCAATAACTGGAACATGAAAGAAGAACGGTGACAAATCATCTGCAGTTTTCTATCCACGTTTTTCTTTCTTCCTTCTCCAACTTTCAACATTTTACGTTGCAAGTATGGTAGGTGAATTTGGTGGCTTAAATTTAACGTTGCTTTACCTTTCTGCTAGATTCGAAATGATTCGATGTCTCACCTATCAGACCGAGGTCACTTTCCATAGTTGAAAGCGAAATTAGGTAAGATATTTTTAATTTAACAATGTTTAAGATATTTTTCCATCTTCTAATCAGCAGAAGAAATATTCGTAATAGATTTAGAAACATTTTTAGGAATCACTGGTCAAACAGATTTTAATAAGGACAGTTGTTCAATGAAGAGAGAAAATATCACTGGAATTTAAATTCGTTCTTATAAAATAGGTCGAAACTTCTTCTAAATCTTCACTCCTCTGTTTTTTATTTTAACCAAGCATTTAATAAGATTTTTTATTTTTATATCATAATAAACACATATATGTAAATTAATTAAAAATTAGATAAAAAAATCCAAAAATATTAATGTTGTTTTAAACTTTGAAAATAACAGTTAATAAAAAAAAGAACAGGGAGTAATTATTTTTGACATCCTAATTAGTGAATTAATTAAGTCAAACCAAACAAAAGTAAAGCTGATGAAAGATTCGGACGAGCCCACGTTCCACACCATAACCTGTCAAACAAACCAGACAGTCTACTTTGATAATTCATGAAAACATTGTTTACAATAAATACAAATACGTAAAAATCGTAGCAAGTGGGATCTTACCTTAGTTACATTGACCTCGATATTATTTGTGTTTGGTTTAAGAAAATAATATATTTCGCATGATAAAGAATTGGGTATTTCTTCTTGCACCTTTTTTTTCTTCCTGCACTCCCATAAAAGCCTTAATCTCAAAAATATTCTTTATTAAAATTAGGTTTAAATCTGTAACTCTTTGTTCACTTAAATAGATTTGGGGAAGAATGATTGAATGGATTTCAAAATATTTGAAAGTAAATTTTTTATTTTTTATTTAAGTGAATTTTGAGACAAGTGAGAGTGGATTTGGAAATAAATTTTGAGAGAATTAGAATATGATTTGATTGACGTGATAGATTAAAAAATTTACTTTCAAATGCACCTTCACTTACCTCCAAATCTACTCAAATAAACAATAAAAAAATTTATCCACAAATTTTTTCAAATTCATCCAATCACTCTCTCCTATTGTACATATATAATTTAAGATATATTTAATTATTTTAAATTATTTGTACTGTATCTGATTTTACGATATTTGAACAGAAAAATAGAGAAAAGAGTGGTCAATGATGCAAATTCATACAAATTAATAAATAAATGATTTCTTAATTTTTATTTAAGTACATGTGATAAAACTTAAAAAAAAAGATTTTTGTTAAGTAAACTAGAAATTCTCAATACTTAAAATAGACTTTTTATTTTTTCACTTTTGAAAAGTAATTTGGAAAAAATCTTACATACAAAGTTAATTATTATTTTGAAGTGTAATCTTATAGAAAAGTAATAATATATAGGATGCCAAATTAATAAACAAGAATGAAGAAATTCTAAATTGTTAAAATTATATATAAGCTTGGGGGATGAATTTCTTGCTTTAAACAATTTATTCTTAGGTTGTGTTTGTTTAATCTTAAAAAAAAGTAAAAGTTAAGTTATTTTTCAATTCGAATTTTAATTTCATGAAAAATTAAATAATACATATACTTAGAGTTAGATCATTAAATGAATGTAAAATTGGATTATAAAAAGGTCTGTATTTTTAATTAAAAAAGCACAACATGAAGTTGAGTCTAAATTTAAGTATTCTTCGATGGCACTATATGCCTATTTGCGTTTTTATTTATCTGATGTAAAAGTGAGTATTCTATAAAAATTCTAGTACTTTACCTAGTAATGCACTACATTATTTTTAAAAATTATATATTTATTGCATAAAATAGGAAGAACTTAATTCAACATTAAATTAAAAATAAGTGTAAAATAAAAAATACTTAGTTTCGGCTTTGGGGATTTAGAACCCTAATCCAAAACATTCAAAGTTGTCTGTTCCGATGTCCAGTTGTGATATCTTCTCTCTTCTTGTTGTTCAAGCCGCGGGGAAGGGTGCCTGCAAAAGACACTCGGGCGCTCAAGTCAGTGACCTTGCGTAGTAATATTGTAATCAAGATTAGTTATGAGAGTTCAAACTTTAGTTCAAGTTTAAGTTACCTGTCTTTTTTGTTAGACAAATATTTATAAATTATAATAAGTTTAAGTTTGACTCATTAACCACCAATGAATGACAATAGTAATTGTCAATAAATGACAATTATTTTCATTAACTCCCCGACAATTATTACTATTGATTACCTTAACGGCTGACTTTACCGATCGGTTCATCGACCTGAGAGATCGGTCGGGCTGATTTTACCAATGGGTTCATTGACCTGAGAGGTATCATCGGTCTGCCGACTCTTTTGCACCTTTACCGTTCGGTCGGCTATGAACCCATAGTAACAATACTAATATTAAATAAATAAATATTATAATATATTCAAGAAGGAATTACAAAACTTCTTTCATTCACTTTCAATATTGTTACCATTTTTTTAATTATTGGAAATTAACAATTGTAACATCCTAACAATTTTATTATCTATAGGACATATAATAAGTATGATATAAATCTCATTAATATAACCCTATGAACTAAAGTAGTTCACATCACTATAAAATATCCATAAAATTTGACTATGTATATTCAATTTCAAAATCTAGAAATACTTTTAATATTACTTAGTTTTCAAAGTACTGGTCCAGTTTCAGAGTTACTAGCACCATCTGCACCAACTTCTACCTGCTCACATGTTTGATATATATTGGGAAAAACTCAATCCAACACATCAATAAAACACAAGATGGGTTAATGCATTTTAAAAAAAAAAGTAGAAAAAGAATAAATCATGTTATAAAAGGTCTGAGAAAAATTTAAATGTGAAACATGCAATAAAGCAGTAATATAAACAAATGCAAATGTGAAGACTAAGAAATTTTATAATTAAATTTTTCACAATTTTAAATTTGTACGTTTAAATTTGTTAGATGCCTACACAGTTTTCTTAAAAAAATTTAGTATATTAAATAAACTCGTGAAACTTTACATATGTTTATCTATTTATTTTGCATCTGTTTGGCTCACACCACCTAAATATTACCCAAAATCCTCTTCAATATATACTTTGACTGACCCTAAATTAGTATCATTTCAATACATTATCTACACAGAATATATAACATAATTTAGCATATCCAAAAACATTAAACTGGTTTATAAACTAATGCAAATATCACATAGAATTTCGCTTACATTAGATACACTAAATTCTCATTCTTTATGGACATTACAATTAAACCATAACTCAACCCTCTCTGTTCCTGTCATACTTTGCCACATTAATCAGTAAAATCAGAATAATATTCTCTTCTTCATTTTTTTAGTTTAACATTTTAACATTAACTTTTCTTTATCTAATCAATATCAAATGAGTTCTCTATATCTTCAAATCTATCACTCATAATTCACATTCACAACAAAAAACATTCACATTCATAGCTCGTATCACAATTTCCATTAATATAAACTTTATTATACATCAAAATATACCGATGATTAACTTTCTTACCTGAAAGAAGTCTACCAATGTTTTCTTTGAGCACTATAACACCACACAAGTTTGACCTATACACACGATATAATCTCTAATGATGATCAACTTACGATTTCATAACTATCACGAAATAAGGTTGCGTCTAGAACACAAAAGAACCACGTGTGGCCTAAAAGTTTACATGCATTAAAGAGTAGCATGGTTCTTAGAAAAGGAACAAATTACACTCGCCTAAAGATGAACTGACAGAAGCCCATTGTAAAACTTGTTGTAAGCACTACTTCTATTACTTCAATATTTGAAAAGGATGATGCTGAGTATTAAATTCCAAAATAAGCAGAGAAGAAGAAAAATGAATTCTCGATGAATAATTTGGGTGGGAGGGTTTTTTTCTCCCACGTTCTGTTTTTATCAAAAATATATTCCCAGAGTTTTTAAGTTAAATAAAATAAAATCAAAATATAATTTTTTTTTATACCTACATAGTTCTCACATCAATATTGTAACTTTAGCTTTAAGTAATAAAGGGAAGGTAATATGCTTGCGAAAATATGTAACAACTTTAAACAATCACATTGGCATAAAATGAAAGTTGTATTGAAATATTAATGTATATATAATTAACATGAACTCGCGATAACAAATTTCAGAAGTTCGTATTGGATTTTCAACATTGTCTCGTACATTTTGTAAAGATGATAAGTGATTCACATCTATAACGTATAAATTTTGCGATTGACATAAACCTGATATAATTACTTCCAGAAGCAAAAGTTTATAAACATGCGTTAGGTTACTACTTTGAGCAGAATGTTTGTACAATGAGCTTCCTCTTGTTGGATTTTTAATTACGATCCTGGCACAAAAGGTGGATTAAATTTTTTTTTTTTCAGATTCATAACTTTAATTTTAAGCACATATTTTTAACATCAACTTCTGAAAACAATAATATCAGTTTTGAAACACCAACAATAACAAATAAATAGTTAGCGTTTTATCTCTGATTTGAAGCTATTTTGGATCACATGTATTTGTTTTAGTATTGTTATTGAGCTCTAAGTCCGTGACATTTGAGAGAGAAAATGCATACAATTAGAGTTTACAAAATATAAAATCATTAGTTTTTTACCTCGTACAAACACAAAAAAGCTTAGATTATAATGTTGCATTATGTCACCTCTTTATATTGATTTAAGACATATATTAGTATTTTTATCAACATCTTTCATTTGCCATTAATTTACTTAAAAAACTCAAAACATAACTTACAGAACTATTGAAATAAACCTTGTAATAATGAAAAGGTGTATACCTTTCCTATAACATACCTTATAATTGAAATAAATGGGGAAAGCATATCAAATGCATATATGTTA